CGTACGACGCGTATATAATGTACCTAACAAATATATTAAAAGAAAAAAAAAAATGATTACGACGGGATGTTTGTGTTTCGTAAGTAAAAAGCATGTTAAGGAGTAAATTTGTAAATCGTGCGCGACGAGATGTGACGCGTTTGCAGACAAAAAAAAAAACAAACAAACGTATAAGTAAAATAAACGGATCGCGTAATTCTGTGCGTACATGCGGATGACTGCGTGTTTATTAGGTAATTATACATATTAACGAGTAAAGAGTACATTTTCGTCGTCCCCCGCGGAGAGTGTACCCCCCACCCGTTGTTATCAAAATTTTTTCACGCGACTTAACACATGCGAACGAAGAGAGAGAGAGCGAGCGAGCGAGCGAGCGAGAGAGAGAGAGAGAGAGAGAGAGAGAGATACAAGGAGTATAATTACGACACGTCGTTGCGCAGCCTCCGAGTATAGGTGAACCTTAAAGCAATTGTATCCGAGTCAAACACGCACATTTAACACAAGAAAAAATAATATCCTACGATACCGTAACCCCAGATCTTTATTAATAAACGTTTCACTTTCGTTCGTTCACTCACACGCGGAGCTCTGTTCTCCGAGTCGCTTGTACGATTGACGTGTGTGCATCATTAGCCACCATTCACGACTCCGGTCATTGAATCATCGCATCATCCCCCGCGACGTCAGGGTTGTCAGGTACTTTATCGAATTGTTTCATTCCATGTACACCGATTCACGTCCATTTCCCATTCGTTCTCTGTGATACTTGATTAATCTGACAATTCTGACCGAGCAGATCGTTGTCACGATTCGCATGGAACCTCGTGGAACGGATATTTACTTCGCACTTTTGTCCCAAAGCAAAAGATTGCCGATACCATACCATTTCAGATTGCTTAATTTCTTGGGTTTCTTAAATATCGACTAGCTACGAAGAATCATTTTTTTCAATCGAAAAGAATTCCTCCCGAGACTTCTTAATTTTATTCGAACACATTCCCAAAGGAACACATACCATTTTCATTTCTCTGTTTATTTACTCGTTCCCGATTAACAGTTTCCACAGTATAGTTGACGAAACGGATAATTACATTTCGCGTATCAGAGGATGACAAGGTTCGATCGATAGGTCAGAAAACGCGCGCGACGTGGTGCAGTGTGAGCGAGCGAAGGAGAGGAACAAATAGATGGTAAAGTCCATCCATCGAGCGAAGTAGCTAAAAGAAGCAGGGCCTCTCAGAGATTGGGAGAGGTCCGGGCCGCTTATCTTTTACAGGCCTCTACAATTTAAAAGAACTCTCCCAAATGAATTAAAAATAACTTCTTTGCGTAGTAATCATTATCTTTAGTACAGAGAGCGATATCACTGCGATCGATAGCGTGTTGGCTAGCACAGACTGCTTTAAATGCTGTTAGTCGTTTGAATCCCTCCATTAATAAACCATCTATTATCTAATAGATAGTTCGTTAATGCACCTAATTATTAACTGTCTGTTAATAAATCACGACAGGATCAGCTAGATAAATCTTATCGATAGTTCCGTCTAGCTCTAGGGTGTGCCTTAGCACAATGCTAGCACTGATAAGTCGAAAAAGCAGCGGTATTGCTCTTTGCGCCAAACATATTGCTTGTTATTACCAAATTGTATACCGATTGTAAGAGCGTAAACATTTCTCAATTATCTGCATTGTGTAAACTTGAGGCCCGCGTAAGTGTGAGGCCCGGGCCGAACGGCCTGGCTGGCCCACCCTGTGATAGGGCCTGAAAGAGGAGTACAATGAGACGATCTCGCGCGAGAGTAATTAAGAGCCAAACGAGGGAAGTCGATCAGAGTTTTGTCGTCGTCGAATCATCGTAACGTGTATCATATCATCGTGTCTTTCGCGAAGGGCACGCAGTTCGAATATTGTTGCTACCACGAATTACTGGATAGAATGTTAAGTCGCGACTAAATGTTACAACGCCGTGATTAAACGGATATTGTTGAGTACGGGCCAGTCCCAAACCTGGAGGCCTCGAGCAAATACGCGAGTGTATATACCGTCGATTGCGTAAATTCGTTTCAGAAAAGTCACTGTCATTCGACAATTCCGAGTGTTCCCCGAGAAAGTGATCCTCGAAGAGAAAGACGATGCTAGTGATTTTCTCTTGTAAAGGAGCTATAGGAGATACACAAAACGTTCTAAAATCGATGGGTCAAACCGGGCTGTATAGTACTCATCAAAAGAAGCATTAACTGTTGGTAAACGTGGGTCTAAAAATCAAGTTTCCGAATCGTGAGGAGAGATTCTTGGAAATGAATATAAGAAAAACTTACACGATTGAAAAATAGCAAAGTTATTGAGTTTTTTTTTTTTTAAATTGGAAAGTTATTTTCGATACTAATTTAGTGAGGTGTGCTACGTTACAGCAACAAATACACACCTACTTCTTTGAAATTACTTCTTTCTCACTCGAATTCTTTATGAAGAAGGAATTATCAAAAATAAACTAATTTTCTTTTCTACCACTCATAGTGACTGAATTAAACGTTCCATCCAATGGTAAAGTACAATTTCATATTATACTTCAACTACCTCAAGTGTCCTCCTTAACAGTTCTCAATTATTACGTCAGTTTCTCTTGTGTCTCGAGAAGTAGGAAACACCTGGAATTCTTGAGCAGGTGCGAATCTCGTGGAAACGTGTCGAGACATGTTTCCAGCATTTCGAACACGTACCTGGGGAAGTACGAATGTCCTTTGCACGTATAAAACGCTTGATTTCCAGGCTCGTATTTACCAACTTCTTCCTTGGTGTATCCAAGATCTGCACCATCGATTTTAGCGCAATCTTTATACGCATGTTGACCAGAATTGACTTTGGGTCCCTCCTGTAGATAAAACGCATCGAGAACGATCCGATTCGGACGTTGGCAAGGCATTGCGTAACGGATTGCAACTATTTCCGTCGTTCACGTCGAAGGCCTCTAGGTTTTCGAGCGGCGATTAACGGAAAAAGGAAGGAGAAAACGGAACTAATACAGCTAATCGTTGTCGACATTGTTTCTTCATCGTCTCCGCCTTTGTCACGATCACCGTCATTGTTGTCACTGTAATTAGGGCATGGGTGTTCTTCGTCGCGCCGGCGTTATACGAAGCGTCCGTTTGTTGCCTCCGGTTCACCGTTTTTGTAATCTATAGGTTTGTTCTGCATCGACAGTTACGCGCACGTGTAAGATATTATTGCATTTCGATCGTGTAACCGCAGAATATATTGCACATACGAATGCACACACACACATACACATGGGCATATATAAATATAAATATATATAAATACGTATATATATTTATTTATTTAGATATGTCGGTATATATACATACATAACGACGAGTGTACATATACATGATCATGGTATAATACATTTGCGGCCCGATGTTGCCTCGTGTTTCAGCGTATAAATAGCGAGAATCCGACGAATTAAACGCAGCTAGGTGTCTTTATAATTTTCGGAGGGTTCGCTTGCGAAACCGTTATAGAGAAATCCAGCGTGAACGCGAAGCAGCAACGAGAATGGCACATTTTCTAAACGCCCAGTCCCATTCAACCTCGATGATTCCTATGTTCTGTATGTATCCGTATACTCGCCTCCGTATATTCACCTGTAATAATACGCCGAGTGCTCTTTCCAAGCGTGTGTCATTCGTTCCTTTATTCTTTCGGTTCGAAGGATGTTGAAAGTACGTTAAATTATCCACTCGTAGATGTATCGATTAATCGTGTAGGAGATTTTACATTCGTTTTCGTTTGCCCGAAAAATCACTTGGAGCGAAAGCATTGCCAAAGAGACGGCGCTCGTTACGCGGACAGAACGTCGCGTGTCCTCCTTTTGTAAATGAGTTAACAATGTTTAGCATCTGGGGCGCCGTTGCTCGTTGCACGTTGCGGAGACACGATGGATGTGTTACTCTATTCCTTTCGGCAGGATATTCCACGGCGTGGTACATATTTGCTCGATCCACTCTATAATACGCGGCACGCTTCGCTTAGTGTACTGAAAATTGAACCGTCACGCTACACTTAACCATCGTGTCCCCGCAAATTAGGAAAGTAAAACCTGAATAACGCTAACGCAATTATCTCGATGAGGTAGATAAACGATACATTCCGATAAAAGTAATGTTCATTTTCTGTTTGTTCATTCCCGTTGTCCGTTCGCACAGTTTTCTCGTTCCTCATTTGCATAAATGTACCATATCCAAAGGGTGCTCTTAAATGGACAGCGGAACAAAAAGCGTATGCGATATAAGATGGTAAAAATTAAGAGATAGAGAAAGGATGGCTTTCTTATTGGAATGGGCTGCCTCAGGGGAAGGTAATCCAGGGACTCTAATAAATCATCAAAACCTATCAGTTTGAATATATTTTACTTGAACACCCTCTCCTACCGATTCTGATCCCATCAAATGTTTTAATCGTATCTGTTTCTAAACAGAGGTTGAAAATTCTCTTTCAAGGGGACAGATGGATGAATTAACATCAATGTTAGAAACTCCGACGTATTTGAAATATTTGAACATGTTACTGCCGAAACAGAAATGGAGCACAGAATAAAATGAAACGAAAAGATCGATAAAAAAAGGGCCACTTTAATATAAGGAACTGTAACTTTTGTTCCAACGAATGGAATCTATTGAGATTGATGCCAAAGAACTTATTGTTAGTTTAATCTATTTCATGGTAAATGAATATAGTCATGATAGTGCATGATTCTGAGTTATTACTCAATGGAAATTAAAGCACATAAGATATATTTCGAGTTTTTCCTAATAGACAAATATATATGAAGATGAAGAAACATATATTAAATTGTCTGACAACAGTTTACTCACCAACAACTAATAAATTACTCCTAAAGAAACTATCCATGTGGTTTTATTCATTTGGAATAAGGTATGATTTGTAAAAGGAAAGAAAATAGGGGAAAACTTTAACTCAATGATCATTGACAAGATTGGTTCCCTGTAAATGCTCTGTTTTATTATAATCCCATGACTTCTGTGTTCACAAGCATACTGTATACATAAAATAACAGTATACCATAATATTAGATGGCATTAATCCTTCACAAAGGTAGACTTTAAACTACGTACAATACAGTCCAACATGGTTGATTATAACCTTTAATAACTTTTCCCCAACTTTTCCTGTAAGAATAACCTCACTTAATACTAAAACAATTAGATTATGTTCTCTTCAAGAAATATGTTCACAACAGTCTGCTATTGGCTAGTATAAACAAATAATTAGCATTATTTATTTAATATAAATATTTACCCGTGTCTTCGCATCTACCTCGTCGTATACCAAAGTGTAACGCGAAAACATCATCCTTGTTGGATCAACTACACAATTTGCTAAGAAAGTTAAGTACAAGCATATCATACTCGTAGTTCCTATCTTAACTAGCATCTTTGATGAATTATATAATTAAACTGATGGTGAACAATAACTGTAGCTCTTCCACACAAATTGCACACTACAATTTTTGCAATTGTTACAATTATCCACTAACCTGGCAAGTGCTGCCACACCACTGTATTACGTATAGATCAGTATAGCCAACCAATGAGAGTTCGTGTCGTCTAGGGAAAGTCACCAGTGTCGTTACTTCTCTTAGTTCTCTTTCCCTGGCGCTAGAGATTCCTTTGATTTTTCCCTATAAACGCCAAGACCATGGATTACTTTTATAGAGGGAAAACTCAGGCATTTATAAAGTCCGATTCTCAGCGCGCATGCGTTTTCTGAAAAGTGAACGTAACTACGATGTCTTAGCAATATCGATAATAAAACGTGATTAAATTAGAAATTAGAAATAAGAGTCGAAGTTGGTCATTACATCGTAAGCTATTGGTAACTCTATTTTAAACAGAAATACCTATGTGCTCGCCATCTTGTTACGTTAAAGTACCAACTTTCATGTAAAACACAGATTGCTTTGAGATTTGTTTTTACAACTATATGTGCTCTCTTGTATGACTGGAGGAACGATCATGAGTGGTATAGTTTCTTTCTTTGTATCAATAAGTGATGATTTTAGGAAAGTGCAGAATTTATTTGTAAGCCTAATACGTGAGAATCCATTGTCTCACAGAATGAAGTATGGTTTCTGCGGCGTTGTTCGAGTCGGTGGTATTATTGCGCGCAGAATTACGGAAGTCGTCGTCCAGATGGCAGCACGAGTACATGAGAAATCGGACGGTAGAAGCAAGCGATATCAGTCGATCGTTGACTGCGACCGCATGAGGACGGTAGGGTCGACAGTCGCATGCTATCTCAACACGGATCGGGATTGGTCGACGGTTCTCCCGTAAGCCCCGCCTACCAGGTGGTCGTTCGAAAGTGTAGTTGTGTAGTTCCTTACGGCGAAACGACGGGCGCTGCTCTCTCCTTAACGTACCCAATCGCGAGAAAATCTGAAATGAGACGTGTCGGCGCGCTAATATGTGACGGTTGAGAGGAAACGAGGACCAGGAACGTGTGAGAGGGTGGTTTATGCGCGGGTGCTAACCACTTTCGAAGCGTGACGAGGAGAACGGAACCGCGTAAAGTAGTGGCAAAGGTGGAGAGCGTGGAAAAAAAAAAGGAAAATATACTCCGAAGAAACGAGAAGACGCGTGTGTGCTAGAGCTACGGGGCAGTGCGAGAGAATCCTCTATTTCGGGGGGGGGTTGTATGTCTTTCTCTGTCTCTTTAACTTCTTTTTTTTTACCTTCCCTTCTGTTTCTCTCTCCGTCTTTACTCCGTTTGTTCCACGGGTGAGGATATATCGTCGCGACAAGTGTTTTTCGCCGTAACGTAGCATGCGACGCATCGTATCGCGGGGTTAAACGTAAAAAGTAACAAAAGGAAAAGAAGTGCTCCGTTTTAACCAACAAGGACGTCGTCAGCTGTGTGCGCTTTTACGAGGGGGACGGTGTGCGAGAGAGAACCCGCTGCTGAGAGACAGAGAAATGGCGGCGCTGGTGGCAGGTGTCCAGTATGGTTTGTCGTCGCACAGTAATTTTCACGAAAACAAGTCCCTGATCTTTGTGAAGCTCACCGACTCGGCGCAACGTGCCATCGAGGACTTCCTAAGGAATCGGGTGAGTAAATTCTCTTCTGGTTTAAACGCGTTTACGTCGCGTACTCGTTTTTTCCTTACGTACAGGCTAGGATCCGCGAGAGTTTGTGGCCCCGCGTGTGTATAGGTGTATATGTGCGCACCTCTGCACGTCGTCACGATGGCGGTCGGTGTGTGTGCGTACGTGTGTCGTAATGTCGTGCCAAGGAAAGAGATACCCGATCGTCAACTCGCTCGCCATATTTCGTGCGGAATTTCGTTACCGCAGCCATCGCCGAGCACCGTTGTGACTGCTTCTCGAAATTGCCACGAATGTTATTTATTCCGCGACGAGACAATGCGTTACGGCGTCATTGAAATCGGTACGAAAAGATCCTAGAATGGAATGCATACGGGGCCACGTTGGCTCGTAGCAGCTGGTTACCGCTCCACACTTTTTCCCCATTGCACGGGCATGGTTCACGGAGAAATTCAACTCTGTACAATTCGAAATCGTCGCTGGTGCACTTTTCGCGATCTTGACTCGCTCGACTGCATCGTAACGATGTATCCGTATGGTTTGACAACGACATTACGTAATGCGAGGACTGACAAGGCGGTTAGCTTGTTAGATCGACTTCCAGACCGGGGCTTGAGGCTGGTTGAATTTTTATACTGTACGTCAAACTTCATTTTAATTTATGATATTTTCAATCGTATTCTGTACAATTTTGCTTCGATAAGGTGAAAATAGAGTTCACGTCTGTCGCCTGTGAGCAGCTTTTTTGGAGTAGCGATGTTTCCAACCGTGGAAAACGTTTGAAATGCGTTTCGATAGTTTTACCACGGACAGAAATGATCATTATTCGATTTTCGTCGTTTTATACTCCGAAGTATTGGGCTGTCTGGAAAGTCCATGCCGATTTTTAGCAGGCGATACAGGTCTGAATATATCGAAATGGCTGAAAACTTAAAGGAAGCGTGGAGCACAAAAGAAAACTTAAATAAAATAATACAGCTACTTAAAGATGCACATATATGGACCAACATCTAACATTGGAGAAAACCTTACAAGAAACTGTCGCTAATAACCAAAGGTTGATGCGACGTTAAATATGTAATAAAAAAAATAAATAAATAAAATGTTTACATTCCTTAAGAGGTGGAAAGGTGTGGAACGAAATGGTACATATATAATTCAATAAATATACATCAAAATTCAAATATGTCTTTGAATTTTTCTTAAAAATAGGCATGAACTTTCCGAACAACCCAATACTAATACTCAAAGAATATTAGAATCGGAACAGCTCCGAAAACGAGTGCCTATAAAATGTTTAAATAGTCCCAGTCTTGTTCCAGACTGTCTCGGTATCGGTTCAAAACGTCCACTTTTCCCGTTTCTTGGTTGCAGCTGTTTTGAATAATTTATCAAGAGTCACGTTACTTTTCCCATTCGTCAATCGCGGAAATAGGAGGATCGTCTTTCATTCAGCGGCTTTAGAATAGCGAAGAGTCGGCCGTGTAGCCTGGCTTTCCTATCGCCTCGATGTTATCGTAGCTGATATTTACAGGTCTAGCGCTTCGCCTAGAGACAGTGACTCGGTGGTTTAGTTGAGGTTATGTGTGGCCACCATCTGTTCCCTCTCGGATCCCACGAAACTTTGCGTTTACGTTACGTGGCTTCTCGTAAGATTTGTTTGTTGGAAAAGGAGCACGAGCACGATCGCGTGATAGCGTCTGAAAATCGCCGCGATCGAACGATTCTTCCACCACCTCGTGTATCCTAACCTCTTTGACGAGATTCGAAAGTAAAGTCGTCGAAGGGGCGTGCCTTTCCTCAAAATATCGCCGTTAAGGGGGCCACTCGCTATAGAGGCTTCAAAAATTGCATTTATTTTTATATTATCTACATTTGTAGTTTGAAAGCTGTGGAACAGCAGTAGATGTTAGTGATTTTGGTCGATTCATAAAAATGAGCGAGAGCCTTCAACTCTTTGCGGCACAGGAATTCAGGTCATAAAATAGACCCATGTTGCACAGGAATTTTATTGCGTTTCAACGCGATGACTGCCACGCTCATTCGCATGGAAGTCTCCACAGAACTTAAATTTCGTCTCGAGACAATTAGAAACTATAGAATCTAATATTTGTCGTTTTATTTATTTTTTAATTCTCATCAAAATTAACGAATACTACCCAGACCTGCTTTCATCAATAGTTAGTCCTTTAAATTATTTGTTGAAGTTCTTTAGTAGAAAGCTCCGTCACCCATACGTGGTCGACGTGGCGTTTAATATGTTAAATCAAACAAAATAAAGGTATCGCACCTATACACACGCAGCTATTGCAAAATTTCGAGGTGGGAGTAAAAATGTCTCACCATGCATTACGGTTCATCAAAAAGGTGGGACACTTTTAATCCCACCGTGCCCCTACCTAGAGCTCACTTCCGTTTGGAGTCACACGTATTTTTCTTTACATCCGCAAGTTTACCGTGCAGCGAAGGTTTCTCTTCGTAGAGAAACATAAGAAAAACGAGTGATGAGTCGATGACTCACCGGATATCACAGTGGCAAAGTAATTGACTTGCCAGTAAATTGTAGTTACTGCCAAGCGTGTATTTCATAACAGAAGAACAAACTAAATATCGAGGAGTATGATGAGTGGTATAGAGAGCACGTGGAAGTGTGTTCAAATCATCACGAGGGCTCTTCAGGGAAAATGAAGGGTTTTCTGCAGTCACGGAAATGTTTCTAAAATCTGTGGAAAATTACGGAGTTCAGTGTGGCACTTGCATTGGATATGGAGATTCGAAAACATTTAAAGCGATCTTGGATGTGGAAACATATGGCGAGCAATTCCCAGTCGCAAGTGAGTGCATCAGACACGTTGAAAAGGGAATGAGTACTAGGTCTCGAAATATTAAAAAAGTGAATAAGGGTGTAGAGGAATCTTAACAGATGTTACAAAATGATCTTACAAAATACTTCAAACTTACTGCGGATTAGCTATCATAAGAAACGCGAACAGTGCGAATGATATGAAAAATGCCATAATGGCTTCCTATTGCCATTTGTGCTCAACAAATGAAATCCTAATCGCGAGCTTTATCTTAATGGAGAAGATAGCTGGTGCAAATGGAAAAACCTATTACGTAATATACAGGAGCACCTCTCTCGAATTTTTCAAGATTTACCGAGTGACGATTTGCTGTCGAGATGTTTAGGATACATAGAACACAAACGAGAACTTCAATTTCACCATCTGGCGTTTGTCACCAAAGTATCTGAATTGTGAATTAAAAATAGTGGAAATTTCAGCGTATGTTGCTGGCAGTTCACTATTGGAATGGAAGCGAAGAATTTCTCTATGGACTCTGATCAGCAACGAATCAAGCGGCAAGAAGACCACGGCTCTTTGGCGACAAAAGAGGCCTGTGTAAATCATGCAGAGGGGAGATGGATGGGCACAATGAGTGTTACGAGGAAGCTGGAGGACTGTTATGTGGTGCTCGAATAGCTGACAAGTCGATAAGTCACAGTCACACGTTTTCATCTTTCCAAAACTTTGAACTCGATTGTCTCGAAACTTTCTTTTCGAGAAAACTATTTAACCGATCAAGCTCATATTTGGCACACGTTTTTATCATACTTATGTCCAATTGATGTACCTAAGACTGATGATTCTTCCGATATTGTCGGTTCATCAAGTGACCACAAGTGATCAATCAATTTTTTTACACAAACCGTTTCGCAATCGGCCTTCCTTTCAGCCAGCATCAAGCCGACTGGGTATATCTCCAGCCTTTTCATCATTTTTACGCAACAAAATTCTGTAAACTAGAATTATGTGAATAAAAAAAGTACCACACTGAATACATTCCTTACATTCTAAAAAAAATCATGAAAATCGACAAGGATTTGGCGTGCCAAGAGAAGTGCCACAAAGAAGACAATAACACGTATATTAAACGGAGAAAAAAGAAGACAGAAAAGAAATCTCGTTGAATGAAAGAAAGTGGAGAAATATCTGCACGCATTTTGCATGGGTCATCGCTTATCGTTACTTCTTTTTAGCCTGACCGCGTGTTGGTCATCGACTCGCGAAGCTTCGAAAATTTCCGATACCGATGTAGACAAATTTGACAAATGTACGGTTTGGCCAGCTCGAGCGTGAAATTTTCCTTTCCATTTGTTACTGACGTATCGGTTAATAGTCGATCATTATTCAAACAATCGCGAATATCATTGACGTAAGAGGACTCTGACGTTCTCGAATTGAATGGCAATAAATAATATTCCATGGTAGGTATGTTTATAATTACAACGGTTACTCGACGAGAGAAACATGTACATAGATTATTATAATCGGTGGTGTATTCAAATTAAAAAATTATCAATCGTCAATACGAGCGTTCCATAGTTTGGGAAAGTTACTTGCGAGTATTCAAAGAGCGATACAAAAGTTGTGATTATATTTTGTTAGCTTTCGTTTGTTGCAAGTTGAAGAACAAAACTTTTTGGTCCTTCACCCTTGCTCAGGCTTTTTCTTTGCTTGCACTTCTATGAAGAAAACAGAAAGATATAAGATCGACAAAAATTTATTTGAAATTGAGCAAAATTACTGTACGAAATGATTTAAATGTATACACCAAGTTTTATACGAATTGTACATGAACATGGACAAACGAAGGAGCCAAAGGAAAGAACGTTCACGCTTCTCGATCTAAAAAAAAGAAAATTTCAAGGTAATCAGTACAGATATACCTTATGCCAGCACATCGACCAGGAAATTCCAGAATAAAAAAATCTTGACGACGTTATCGTCTCCAGTTCATTTGGACACTGGATTGTAAATTTCTGTACAGTTTTAACTAGAATTTCTTCGTTGATAATGTGTAAAATTTGCAAAAGTGACATTAATTTTCAACAAGCATGCAAGCTAGAATTAGATTTGAATCGCGATGATAAGTATACGCATTTGGTATGAAAAACTTTTGAAATGGTTGAGACGACACCTCGAGTTATAGTTGACTGAATG